TAATGATGATGATGGTGATACGTTATATAAAAAAAAGGGAGAAGAATCCTCTCTTTTCCTCTATTTCTTTTTTTTTTTTTTTTTCATTCACAAGAATAAATAAAGATAATTATAAAATCTAGCATGCGTACGTAGTATGGTTATGTATAATAATAATAGGTATGTTTGGGTTTAATTTTTTTTTTGTATATTTCATGCATCATTCTAAAGAATGGGGTGCATAATAACAAAATATGTTTTTTCTTTTTGTCATAATAACGAATATTTTTTTCTATCCTAACTTTAATGTTTTTTCAACAACCGTTGAATAAACTCTATAAAATATTTTATAAATTGATTGCTACTCACTCATTGATTATGAGTATCTTTTCCCTTATTAAACACCTAATATTGATGAAATCACCATTAAAAAAACAACTTAAAATATTAATTAGGTATTAAAAAAAAAATGCTGAGAATGATAAAAGTAATTAAACTTGTAAAATTATAAATCCTGCTGAATATCGCCATAGTGAATTTTTTTTGCTTGTGAACAAATGTAAAAATGACTTGCAACAATCGAAATGACATTATTATTATTATTATTGTTATTATTATTATTATTATGAATTTTTAATTTTTGCAAAGGTTTTTTTTATGTTCTTATCTTCATTATTATCTTTTCAATTATCTCTAAAAGTAAAAAAAAAATTATCTACTTTTTCTAAGAATTTTAAAATGGATTCCACGCGTCATACGCACAAACACAAAAAACCGCCAACGGTTAAAAAAAAAAATCAACAATTAAATTTTTTTTTTTGAAATGTATGCGAAATATGATTCCCGAAATATTTTCGAGATGTAATTATATGTAAACATAACTATTATCTCTCTTTTTTTTTAAATAACGTTCCCGAATTAATGAAAAACTTTTATAATATAAAAAAAAAACCGTTTAACCTTATTACTAAATGCGTGAAATTGTTATGCGAGTAAAAAGAGAAACAAAAGTCATAGATTAAATAAACTTATAATCGAAGTGTTAATTAACAATCGAACGCTTCGTTTTGTTTTTATTCATCTATGAGATTACTTTTTTCGCGAAAATATATATATTTGAGTATTAAAATTTTAAATTAAATAATGTGTGGCGTCGTATAAAAAGTTTACATATTTTTTATTAGAATTAATTTGTGTGAGGTAATTAATATCTATTTTAAAACGGAAAACCGAATTTTGAAATTCGTTAATTTTTTTTTAGGAATTCGTTTTGACAAACTCAAAAAAAATTAATAGATAAATGCATGTGTAAGCATCAAATGGCGTCGTATATCAAATAATGGGGAAAAAAGTTTGAACCATTGACCTTGAATAAACTTGGAGGGTTGTTTTAGGCAATGTTACTAGCAGGTAAAAAAAATATTTGTACCTTGAATACTGTTTAAATTTATTATAAAGGCACGTAAAAAAAAAAAAAAAACCGTTGCCGGAAATTAAGTAAATTTATTATAAACCAATTCTTTCAAATGTTATTTTTTACCGTTTTTTTTTTTTTTTTTTTTTTTTAAATGTGCAACGTAAGGTTTAAAACGGACCGAAATAGTTTTAATTCTTAGAAATTAGTTAATTCAATGCAAAATAAAAAAGAAAACACATTTTCAAAACTATTTATTTACTTCTAAGAAGTGATTTAAGTTTTAAATTTAAAAAAAAAAATTTTATGCTCCGCCATTTTGTTTATCCTTCGTCTACCTTTGTTAATTTTTATCGATTATTTTATTTGTAATTTTCTTATTATGGCGAACGATTGTGATATTATTAAATTATTTATTTATCTCTTATTATTTACATAAGAATATTACATAAAACTAAAGTTAATAATTTATTAATAGATTATTATTACCATTAATATTTAAATTCTCTTACCTATTTTCATAAGCAGGTAACATACAGTAAAACTTTTCTCATCATTTCTTCTTTTTTTTTTTTTTATATTTGTTCTTGAATTATTTCTTCATAATAATAATAATAATAATAATAATACTTTTTTAAAGACTTTGATGATTTTTCAACCGTAACAACCAACAACCGTAATCCTTCTAACAAAAATACCTAATTTAAAACATAAAAAATAATAATAATAAACCATTACATATCAATAAAAATGTTTTTATTCTAAAAATAAAAATTTTATGTTTATTTTCTTTCTATTTTAAGAGTGAAATAAAAATAAAAAAAAACCTTAAGGAATAATATTTTAAAGGAAATGAAAGTAAAAAATTATAAATGTCCTCATAAAAAAATTTGTTTCATGTGTTTGTGCTTCTCTATTGCAATTAAAAATATGAATTATAATTAATAAAATTTTATTAAAAAGTAATTTATTAATATTATATCTATTAATAATTAATATTATTGTTATTGTTATTTAATTAAAACAATCGTCTTTGTTTTTAAATATTGATTAAAATTTGTTTGTTTGTTGCAGGTTTATTTTTAAAGATGGCGTTTTCAAAATTAAACTTATTCACATCACATGTATATTTTCTATAATTATAAATTAAAATTAACGTTTATTGATAATAAAAAAAATATCTATCGATAAATAATAATGATTTCTGTGTGTGTGTGTGTGTGTGTGTGTGTTAAGGGATGTTGAAGAAAAAGTTGGACAAGCATTACAAAAAAAAAAATTCCTGTTGTGGAACAAAAAATTCTCTTTTTCTTCTTAAACAGTTTTTTACTGTTTTGGTATGAGTTTTTACATGGGTAAACTAAAAAAAAATTAAAATATCAAATTACATTTAAAAAAAAAAAGAATGACTATTATTATTATGTTGCAAAAGGTGGTTAGGTTAGAAAATGTTGCTTTGTTGTTCAAAACTGGGTTTTTTTGGGAGAATATTCAAAAAAGTAAAAAAAAATAAATGAGAAATACAACAAAAATTGTATTGTTATTGATTTTTCACAATTAATACAATAATAATATTATTATTATTATTATGTATGGGATTAATTTTGTCAGGGGTTTGAAATTATTTAATGTTGTACTGTTTTGCCTTTTAAAAAATATGATTTTTGGACTTTTGGATTGATATTTTATAAATAATTCTCTTGTAAATGCATTAGTAATCACTTAAGTAATAAATTAAATGGAAAAAAACGTTTAATAATAATAGAAATTTCTAGAAACGTTCAATTGATTATTAATAACATATCAAATGGAATGCCTTTATTAACGTTTTTTTTTTCCCCATAAAAAATGTATTTGTTTAAATATTGGTAAAATATGAGGATTTCTAGCATCGAAAAGAATTTTTTTTTTTGAAATTAAATATAAAAGTTAAAATTTAAAATAAATATATAAGTTAAATTACAAAAAAAAAAAAAAAATTTATTCGAATTTTCTTTTTTTTTTTTTTCAACCATGTATGTTCGTACGACATTAATGAATCAAGAGAGAGGGTTGGCAAATCGTTCAAAATGGCCGCCACCCTTTTAACCATTCACCCTGTTATATGACGGCTTGAGGCACGAATGTGTTGAAAAATCAAAAAGGGTGAAATACAAAAAAGGTGTTTCTTTTTTTTTTTAAATAAAAAATTAACCCCATCGTATTTTGTTATTTATTCTTATTCATTTGACGAAAGAGAAAAAAAAAAACGGCGTCACTACGCGAATAGTTATTACTTTAATCCGATAGAGCGCGTTGATGTAAACATCAATAACTTGTAACAAACTCCGACAGATGTCAGTCAAAATTATTTGTGTATATACTTTTTAAAAAAAAAGAAAAATTCACGCTAATTTATATAATAAAATAATATTTTGTTTGATTGAGTATTATAAATTAATAATTTATATCAAATTCATAATCCAAAATTAAATTAATAAATAGCAACAAAAAGTAAAAAAAAAAACATAAAAGTGCACTTACCCGATAGTCAAACACCGGTTATGCTATTTTCAATACATTCAAAAACTGTGAATTGCCTAACTGACAATTTGAAGGCGTATTATAATCCCATAATAATTTGTAACGATTGAATTCCAGCTTCCTGTAAAGAATTTCAAAAATATATTAATTAAAAATTATTATTATTATTATTATTATTATTAATTTTTTGCAATGACTACACAGTAATCAACTTTACCTGTTTAAAAAATTAAAGAATTTCAATTAATACAAATTCTTTTACATCTCACGCATAAAAATAAACTTACAAAAAAAAAAGAAATTTTTATTTTTTTTTTCATTAATTTTATTATATATAAATGTAAAAAAATTATATTTATTACAACATTAAAAAAAAACATTATTAAAGTACAGATAGAGAGAAAAATACAAAAAAACTAACTAACTAACAGAATAGTTTTTTTTTATAAAACAAAATTCATTCGATAAATTTATTACTTTTGAAATTATTGTTTTCTTTCCCCTTTCTAAAATTAATTTCCTCCAATTATCATCATTATCATTATCATTATCATTATTATTATTATAAATAACATATTTATTACCGTTAACAATAAGAACCGTACATTAAATATATATATTAATAACGGTTTTTCAATACCACCATCATCACAAATTTTTTTTATTTACAATTGATTATGTATACGTTTAAAAAAAAAAAAAGAAAAAAATGATGAGCAAAACAAAATGAATTTTAATTTATATAAAAATTCAATAAATCGATCAATCGATCAATCGATCGAGAGATCGAACGATAAATAAATCAATCGATAAATCAGTCGGTGTAATTAAATAATAAATTTTTATTTTTTCATCTTTCTTCCATGAGATCTTTTTAAGTGTTTTAAATAATAATAACAATAATAATAATAATAAAAATCGATTAAAAAAAAATTATTGATAATAATGATAATAATAATAATGATAATAAATTTTATCAAAATTAATAAAAAAAATAAAATAAATTCTTTCTTTCTTTTTTTTTTTTCAAATAAATAAAAAATGATTGACGCCATTTTTTTTTCCCCCGACGCCCGGATTTTTATTACCATAAATTCCCACAGGATTCGTTAAAATCCCCAAAAACTCATCATTATTATTATTATTATAATTATTTTTCATTTGATCATTTATTTATAAAAAAAAAAAAAAATTTTTTTAACGTAGGCACCTTCTTTTTTTTCTCAAGTTTTATTTTTAAATTATTCACCGTCACGTGACACATTTCAATTCAATATGACTTCCATTTAATAATATTATTATTATTAATTTTTTTTCCTTATTTTATAACGGACTAGAAATAAAAAAAAAAATTTTTTTTCTTTTTTGATTAAATATTACTGATTTTCGATTCGTTATTATTATTATTACTCCTGTGATTGGGCAAACTAATAACGACTTGATTCTTTGGTTCTATAACGGTTTTACCGAATTCAAAATTATTTTTATCTAATTGACTCCTGTGATTTTGTTCTTCTCCGGCAAGATTTAAATTCGACCAATTTGTATTTATCGATTGACCCGAACAACTCGAATTCGACGATTTCGGTAGGCTGTTCGATCCGAACGGCCAATATTTTTGTCCCGTTCCTCCGACGTTTTGTTTTCCATTTTGATTTCCACCGCCGAACGTTCGAATCGGTGGAGGTAGAGCGTTGTGACGTGGAGTCACCGAATTTATCGGATTACGAACGGGAGGAGATGAAACTTGAGTCGATTGAGTTTTGTTCGAAGGATTTGTGCTGGATTTGTGACTAGTATTACTATTGCTGCTACACGTTGTGCCTGTAAAATAAAAAAAAAGACGTTTTTATTAAATTATAATTCCCCCCCCTCCTCCTTCCCTTCGTCCCTCTCTCCCTTCGCCATACCTCTAAAACTAGTTTCGTCCATTGTCGACCACATTCCTTGACTGTTTGGACTATAATTTATAACTCTTGCCGAATCCAAACACCAGGCGTTCAACCTAAAATAAATTAAATAAATCACACAAACGATTCCAACGATTCGAACGCGTCAAAGGTTCGTCTTTAATGAATACCTGGCGTGAAGCTCAGGGAAATGAGGCCTCCTCGAAGGAACTTCGTGCCAACATTCTACCATCAAAGAATATATTCTAGAAGGACAGTCTTCGGGACATGGTAAAAGCTGCCTCGATCTGATCATGTCAATGACTTCTTGATTGTTGTAGCCGTAATATGGCTGAAATTTGACAAAAAAGAAAGCAGGTCGAGATTATTTTATTTCAGGATCGATTACCAACATTTAAATTCAAATCGTTGAATGAATGAATACCTGAAGACCGTAACTGTAAATCTCCCACAAAACGACGCCGTAGCTCCAAACGTCTGATTCCGTAGTAAATTTCCCATACAATATGGATTCCGGAGGCATCCACCGAACGGGTAACAAGGATTTACTTTGAACTCTGCCGACAAAAACATTTTTTTTAATAAAAACTCATCGATTGGAAAATCCGTTATGGTAAAAGGTAACAACCTGTAGTAATCCGAAGAATAAACATCTCTCGACAAACCGAAATCCGATATTTTAACCGTGAGATTATCTCCCACGAGACAATTTCTCGCGGCTAAATCCCTGTGAACGTAATGATGAGAACTCAGATAATCCATTCCGGCAGCTATTTGTAAAGCGATTTGTAGAAATTCTTGTTGGTCTAATATGTGACCCCCGTTGTCGTCGGCCGATCTCGGAGAATGTACCATCAAATACTCGTGAAGATCACCCTATCACGTAAATAATAATTACAATTAATTGTTTTTGTTTTTTAAACAGCACCATGACGTCACGTTTAAAAGGAATCAAATATAAAACCTGAGTCATGTATTCGAACAACATGGCGTAGGGTTGTTGACGTTTCACGACTCCCAAAAGACAAACAATATTCGGATGACGTAATTCAGACATGAGTTCAACTTCGCGTCTGAAATCTTGTTGAGTTTTCAACGTAGCATTTTCTTTGAGTGTTTTTATGGCAACTTGTAAAACGGGATCCGTTTTGCTCACGTGAATTTCACCCTTGTAAACTTTACCTGTAAATTTTTTTTAATATATATATCCAATTAAAATCATTTACTTTCACACCTTTTCATTATTATTATTATTATTATTATTATTATGTCATTACCGAAAGCTCCTTCTCCGAGTTCTTCTAAAAATTTAACATTCGATAATTGGTATTCACGCGTCCGAACAATGTTTTGCCTTTGGTTTTTATTATTCGAATGATAATCGGGTAAAAGAGCGTTCATTTCCAAATTGCCATTGTTTCCGCCATTTCTATTATTAAACGTTGATTTTATTTTTCCAGGAGAATTTTTACCGTTAACGATCTAAAATAAAATTAAATTGATTAAAAATTCGTTCTTCTTCTTCTTAAAATGTATTTTAAAAAAGGTTTACCTTGGCGTTGGAAAACGTTTGATTTTGATGAAAATCGTCGCGAGTTCTTTTTCGCCTTTTGCAACAGTAGTACAACATCCAAAATAGAAAAAGTATCAAAAGGCCCGTGCAAGGAGCCAAAATGTAAAACCACATGTGAGACACTAAAAAAAAAGTTTTTTTAATTTTAAAATATTTCAAATATTAAAGTCTTTTTTTGAATATTTTTGGGTAACCTACCACATTGTGGCACATCGCATAATTCCCTGTGCAATTGATCATCATATTCGGTGAAACACCAAGGTCTGTCCTCCGAATTACCAGGATTTCTACAATAATTATGACCTACTAATTCGGGATAATCAGTGACGGGAAATTCTTGTTGGGAAGACCACACGATACATAATCTCCCTGTGGCAGTTATGTGTTGAGTCCCTCTATACCCACCGCCTGATCCCCAATAGCAGTAGGGTTCTTTTAAATAAATACAATTGAAACTTTTTAATTTGTTAACGATAAACAAAATTCATTTGAAATTTGCATGCAAGACAAAGCCCTTGACAAACCTTGAGTTTGCTGTTGAATTCCCATTTTTAAACATCCTCTACTTTCTTCGCTGTGAATTTCAGGCAATTCTTCACATTCCGGAAGGGATAATTGCAAACCGATCAATGGGTGAGATTTTGCAAGAGCATATTCTAATCTGCACAAAACATTTTCCAATAGCTCGCAATCTTCTCGACAAATTTTATGAGGAGGCTTCTTCGGATTTGAATTGCAAATCGGAAAAGCAGAATAACAAAGAGAAGGTTCCGCATACATTTCACATCCTTTTGAAATATCTCTAACAAAATGAGAATTTAATATATTAAGAAAATGATGTACATTGTCATTGAATACTTTATTTAAAACAACAGTTTTAATAAAAGAAAATTACCTGGAATTTTCTATTACAGTAAATGCAGTGTTTATTTTTTCTTCGATTAATTTTTGAGTCAAATTTGACGGAATGTAAACTGTTTTATTACCAACATATTTTTGGCATCTAGTACCTTTATACGGTTGGCAAACAAAATTGCTGTGCTCTGTCACAGGAACTTTACCTAAAAACAATAATCAGTTGTTTGAGTATTGAGAAACTACAGACCACATGGCGACATAAGTGCAAAAAACTATGTCCATCACTTACCGACATCATTTTTAAAGTTGGAAAAAAATGAATTAAACAATCTCGATCCAGTCTCCGATTTTGTATTGGTGGAAGACACTGAATCGGTAAAGAGACGTTTCTTATTAAAATCATCTAAATGAAATGTACCCTTTGGTAATTCTGATTCTTCGAAAGGATCATGAGGAGTAAGAGGATAATTTTGAGGAAATGTATTTGTACCCAATCCAAATGAATGTGTGTCACCGAATGAACCTGATGCATTATGTCTACCTGAGCTTCCACTGATGTGGTCTAAATTAAATGTCCCACTCGAACCTGCACCTGATAATCCAAGGCCAGAAAGCGATCTGAAAACGATCAAAATCGCATAAAATATTGGTTTTACATGTTTAATTAAACTTGACATTGAATTTTATGACAACACTAAAAAAACTTTAAACCTTTCCAGTTAAAAATTCTAAAATACTTTAATATATTACGAATTTGAATCAATAGAATGCGTGATGTAATATAAACACTTAAAAATAATACAACACAATAGGTAATTCAATCAATTTTTAAAAAATTGACAAGTAATCACAGTAATAACGAACCAAAAAAAAAAAAAAAACTGATGTTTACGCATGTAATTCGTAAAACATTTAATTATGTTATTAAAAAATTTAATAATAAAAAAATAAATAAAATTTGAAAAAGATTTTCAATGTAAAAAGTAATTACTTGACTCTTTACAATTCAAAACAACAAGTAGTGGTGGTTTGAATTTATACGGGAAAATTTCAATTGAAAACTTACGAATTATTAGCATCGGTTTCATCGGAAGTTTCATTCAAAATTGTAAAACAATTGTCAAAAAATAAAATAAGTAATATTATAATAAGTTTTATTGTCATTTTCTTTTAAATTATTAGTAAAATTCACCACACCCAACGAAATAACAACATTAATTTTCGGCCATTTTTCAAATTATTGTCATGATATTTCTGAACGTACTCTTAATCTTTCGTCATTGGTTCGCACTTTTGCGACAAAGTGGAAACGGAAATTAATCATAAAAATTCAGTGATACATGTATCTCAAGTTTAAAATTTTTTTGTGTTCGAAAAATTTGATTGCATTTGTTTAAATAAAACTCAGGTAAGTACCAATTATTTAAACTTACTCATCGTATATGTCGGAGAAATGTGGAAATGGTGATATTTCTAACGGACTCGTGAAAGTATTCATTTGCACTTTTAATATTCCTGTCGATTCAACGGTTTTTACACCGTTTGATATTTGGCACGTATAATATCCCGTATCGTGAACGTCTAATGTAGAAATTTTTAATCTCGTACCGAGGCTGTTGCCATCGTTTTTACCCTAAAACATTTATTACAATTATTCTCATATCATTTACTCACGACGTTTACCTATTTTTTAATAATTTTACCTTTATTTTGTACGATCTTGCAATAAGTCTATTTTTCTCTTCTCTCACCGGTGCTTCATATTTAAGCCATTCAAATTTATTAGGGGGTGGTTCACCACTAGCTTCACAACGAAGTTTAACAGCTTCTCCTGATAATTTTGTTATATTTACCAATCCTTTTGTTATCTTTAAGTAACCTGAAACAAAAAAAGATATAAAGATCCTCCTCCGCCATTTTGAAATCAAATTCAAAAAACAATAAACAAAATGACAATTGGAAAAGTTTCCAATTGTTTTCCTTCTTCTTTATATTATCAAAATATTCATAATTAAAAATTTATTTTTATTAATATATATAATAAAAGTTAATTCAATAAAACTTTTAATTTTTGAAATCCATCATTGTTTGCAATTTCTTTTTGTTTTTCCCATACAATTTTTAACTTTTTAACAATTAAAATTATTTCAATTTTTATAATGGATCAAAGTTTATAAAATTTATATTTACCCCCTCCACCTCCTTCATTTAAAGAATTTCCAACGGTTCCATTTTCTTTATGATTTTCTTCAACATTTTCATCATCATAATTATAATCATCAAGACCATCAATTACTCCATGTCCATCATGGTGGCTGCTTGTATCTGACAATCCTAAAAACAAACAAACAAACAATATAAACCAATTCATTTTCTCATTATTGAATACTTTTTCTTTTACCATCCGTAATAATAATAATAATAATAATTTTAGTTTTAAACACTCAACACTTTTTACGCCCTCCTTCCCCTCCCCCCTTTTTTCTCTATGTGTTTTAAATGAACAATTAATTTTGATAGACAGTTGATAGTTGAGTAAATGACGTTTTTACAATTTTTATTTTATGGTTGTTTGAGTTTTTTTTTTTTTTTTTTTTTTTTTTAAGTTGAAACTCGTGCCATTTTTTTTTTTCCCTCCCTTAAAATATTTACTTTTTTACACCCTTCCCTCTTGAATACTTTCATCATCATCAACCGTTTGAAATCCGTTTACCATTTTTATACATTTGTGTTAAAATTTATTTTTATCAATAATAAATGTGATAATAAAATAAAAGGGCGTCGGTTAAATTTTTTTTTTTTCAAAATTATAAAAAAGAAATCCGGAAAATATTTTTTCGTGAACCACGCCTTTTTATTAAATTATCACGAACGGATCGATTCTTTTTTCCACAAAAAAAAAAAAAAATTAAATTTAAATTTAAAAATTAATGACGTCATTAATACGTAACGAGCTTAAAATTTTTAATTTATTTAAAAAAAAAAAATATGTATAAACGGTCGAAAGAATTTTTTAAATTATTATTATTATTATTAATCCGCGTCAAATTTATCATGATGATGATGATGATGATAATAATGATAATAGTAGTAAAGGGAAAAAAAATTTTATAAAGTCATCAAAGGCTAAAACCTAAGGGTTTAAAATTTTATATATATATATGTGGGAAAATGTTGAGGAGAAGAGAAAAAAGATGAAGAGAGAGAGAGAGAGAGAGAGAGAGAGAGAGAGAGAGAGAGAGAGAGGGTGGAAAAAAAGTAAATAAAAGTTAAAAAAGGGAAGAAGAAAAAGGGAAACCAATTTTGGAAAAATGGAAAATTTTATCAATGAAATCAAATCGAATTTATTTTTCAAAGACTTGGAAAAATATAAAAAAAAAACCGACACGCACACGCACAGGCGGGAAAAATAGGAAAATTTTTTTTAGAAAAAATTCATAATATTATGAGAATGAATGAATGAATGAATTACGTAACAACAGCAGAAGAAAAAGAAGAAGAAAACAATCCTTTGTGTTTCTTTTTTTTTTTCCTTTTGGCTCCGATTCTTTAATACCGGAACTAAAAGCAATTCTTTAAAATGAAGATTTTTCATTTGGAGAAAAGGGGAGAAGAAAACAAAAAAAAAGGAATAAAAGGGAGAGAAAGAAAGAGAGAGAGAGAGAGAGAAAACGTCAATCTTTCTTCTTCTTCTTCATCTTCTTCTTCTCAAGTTTAAACGATTCTTAAGTCGGTTATTAAAGTTAAAGAAAAAGAAACGTGAGAAAGATCCCTATTGAAATTTTAACGCTTTTTAAACAAAAAAAAAAAAAAAAAATAGAACAATCCATCAAAATAAGAAAAGAAAAGAAAAGAAAAGAAAAGAAAAGACAAAAAGTTAATTAAAAAAAAACGTGGAATTAGAATCAAATTAAAATTGATTTTCGATACTAATAATATTGATTCCCAAAACGTTATTGTCGTTGGTACTATTATCATTATTATCGTTATACGTTACCATTGTTATTTTGAACAAAACAAAAAAAGTAATAATAATAATAATAATAATAATAACAATTTCCCAGTGTCTTTTTTTTTTTTTTTTAAATCAAAAATAAAAAGAGAGAGAGAGAGAGAGAGAGGATGAAATCAAATTTTCCAAAGCTTTTTTCCTTTTTTCCTTTTCATTTTTTTTTCTCCCTCCCCCCTTTCAAAAACGAAAATCAATCCTGACTTAAATTTAATTAAACCTCTTTTTTTAACGTCAAAAAAAAAAGCAGAAGAAAAAGAAAAAAAAATGACTGAAAAGGAAAAAAGAAAAATTCAATACTTTTTTTTTTTTTTTTTTTTTTTTTCATTTAAACCTTTTAATGAAAAACAAAAAAAAAAAAAAGAGAAAAAAAAGAGAAAAAAAAGGGAAAAAAAGGGGAGAGAAAAAAAAAGTAAAATTTATTAAGAATGAACAAAAAAAAAAAAAAAAAGGAAAAAAGTTTTATTATTATTATTATTGCTATTATTATTATTATTATTGTTTGTATCGCGTTAATTAATTGGCAACCTGAAATTTTTCACGAATTTTTTTTTTTTCTTTTCTTTTCTTCCTCTCGCTCTAACTTTTCCCTCTTTTCCCTTTTCCTGCCAAAAAAAAATTTTTTAAACCCCTCCTCACCCCTCGAGAAAAAAAAAAAAAGTCGTACCAGTAGAAAAATCATTCGGCATTTCTGCCACGGTCATTTGATAAAAAAAAAAAAAAATAAAAAAAACTTTTTTATTTTTACTGAATCTGACAAAAAGTTTTCACAACCCTTTTCCTTTTCCTTTTAAGGGTTTTTCCTCCTTATTTTGACCTTTTTCAATAAATTCCAAAAAAAATTTTTTCCCTCGAGAAAGGTTTTTTTAACCGTATCCTCCTTCCCCTCACCTCCCTTCCACCACCACCGCCACCACCACAACCGACAGATTAAACTCAAAACTCTCGTAAAAAAAAACAAACACGCACCCACACACAAGTTTTAAATGTTTCCAAAACGAAAATATTTATTTGTATTTAGCCGTAAACCTCCTGCCCCCTCCCTTCCCACCCCACCTTCGAAATATAATCCTCATGTTTCTCTCTCTCTCTCTCTCTCTCTTTCGGGAAAAACACGATTGCCAACATAATTTCACAAAAAAAAAAAAAAAAAAATTAATTATTTAATATTCGACATAATCGTTGTAATAATAGCAGCGTAAGAAAATTTTAGAGAACGAACGATGACGTTTTCATTTTTTTTTTTTGGGAGGGGAGGGAGGGGGTACGACAGAGAGAGAGAGAGAAATCAGTTTAAGTTTTCCACTGGATTTAAATGACTCATAAAATTTTTTTTCTTAACTCGCATCTTATCATTGATAAAAAGAAACAGCAGCAGCAACAGCAAAAGCGTCATGGTCGTCATTCATCCCTTCCGTCACAAAAACTAAATTACTAACTAACTACTTTTTTAAATTGAGTTAACTCTCCCTCACCCTCTCTCTCTCTCTCTCTCTCTTACGATTCTTCCATAACTCTTACGAATGACCTCAGGCACAAAATATAATAATAATGATAATAATAATAATAAAAAGGGACGATCGAACAAACTTACGCCATTTTAGAGAAAACCGATACAAAAAAAAAATTTTAGTTTTTTCTTCTGACACGAATCTATTTATTTAGTCATCCCCGTACAAAAATCGATCCGTTCGTTTTTTAAACAATTTATATTAATAATAATAATAATAATAATGATAATGATAATAAAAGTTGATTGATGTTAAAAACTTGAATAGGAGGAGGAGGAGAAGGCGGAGTTTTTTTTAAAAATAATCTTAATAACATCAAAAATTATTATTATTATTTTAAAAGTTGTTGTTTGTTGTTGTTGTTGTTAATTACCGTTAAACATTTCATTAAAAAAACAAAAAAACAAACGCGATTAATAACAAATTAATAATAATAATAATAATAATTTTGTTTTTTTCTTTCCTTTGACGAAAAAATTTCTCGAGGGTAAATTTTATATATATATATTTTTTTTCATAGAGTAATAATAATAATAATAATAATTTTTTTTGTAATTAAGATGTTTCATCATCATCATTATTATTATTATCGTTCACATCGAGTATATTAATTATATATATTTAAATAAATAAAAATATCAAAAGTTAATTGTTTAGTTTTGAGTTTTTTCAGGTACAAAATTATATTTTCAACCCTTTTTTTTTTTTTTTTATTAAAATCTAATCCCACGTTAATTTTTTTTTTTTTTTGTTAAGGAACGCCTACCGTATCTAATTTTTTTTTTCTTTCCCTTTTCAAAATTTTTTTTTTTTTTTAAAAGTTTCGTCGTGTAAATAAATAATTTTTTTTTTTTTGCTAAGGTTTATTCTTTTGCCACGTGCGTTAGATTCATTTATTTTATTTTACTCTATGATTTCGAACGTAAAGAAACGAAATAAATTTCTTTTTTTCTCCTTCCCCGTTTTTTTTTTTTTTTTTTTTTTTTTTAAAAACAAAAAGAAAATAAATAAATTTTTTTTTATATACATATAAATAAAAACCGAGTTAAAGTGGTATTGTCAATGTTGTTGTTGTTTCCTTTTTTCCTTTTTTTCCTCTTTTTTTTTCTGTTATCAAATTGTAGAAACAGGAAATAAAAAAAGTCAAAAGATATGAGAATATGGCGTCGACGAAAGTATAACAAAAAAAAGGTATGAGAGAATCGTATGGGAAAAAAAAGATGCGGATGCTGTATAAATCTCTTCTCGAACATCTTTTAACATTTTACTCATTTTCCCTCGCATTTGGTAAAAAAAAAAAAAAAGGAAAAAAGGAAAAAAGAAAAACTTTTTCTTATTTTTCCTTTTGTTTTTTTTTTTTATTTTATTTTGCATTCGTAATCAAAAACCCGGAAAATTGTTTTTTTTTTTTTTGTTTTTCTTTTTTTTTTTTTTTAAACTTTAAAACATTCGTTATTTAAATATTGTTAATTATTACTTTACAAAAAAAAAAGAAAAGTTCACGACAACAACATTGGAAACCCACTCACCTCCCCTCCCTCCCCATAAAAAACTTTTTTCATCCCTTTTGATTTCCTTTTTCGAAAAAAAAATGTTTAACTTTGTAAATAATATTTTTTTTTTTTTTTGTCTGGGAAAATAAGTTAAAGCACTCGAAAAAAAAAATCAGATTAAATGGACCGAAAAAAAAAAGAAAATAATCCAACAGGAAACGGAAGAAGAAGAAGAAGAAAAAGGAAAAAGAAAACAATTTTTTTTTTCTTTTTCTTCTTTTTTTTCCTTTTCTTCCTTTCTATTAAATTCTGATCGAATAACAAAATTCATTTTTTTTTCAGGGATTTTTCTACTTCT